ACATATTTCTGGGAATCAGGCAAGAAATAGATTTTATACAAAGATCATGAGGATTAGACAATCCATCTAAGGGTTTCAACACCAAAAGCTCAAGTTTGACATTGAACAGAGCAAGACTAGTTTTTCCAACCGAGAGAGACAAATTGGACATGACAAATCAGAATTTCCAACAGGATTTGGCCCACGTTTAACTTTATTAAAAAAAAGAACTTGACTCCCAAACTTCCTTTCTTCCCCAATGTGCATCCAATAAGAACAAGACATACATTTTGCTCATGTGTTCATTTCTTGAGCTGTCTAACAATCTCTTGGCTTCTCCGTTAACGATTGAGTTTAGAATCAGGTTTATAGGAAAAAGCTTTTATTGTAAATATGCTGAGCATAAGGATGTCCAGCTGGTAAGGAAATAATTCAAATTGTGCATGTAAGAAGTGCAAGATATAACAGATAAAACACAAGATAAAGCACTACTTATATGTAAAGATTGACGTTAGGACTTGATGGACAAAAAACACGGACAAAATACCCATTGTACAATGTTCACTAGATTTTAGTTTCTAGATTATTATTTTTTTTTCTATATTTATTTTTGGCCTTTTAGTCTATATTTGTACAGGACAGTGAATAAGTTAGTAAATCAGGGATAGCTAGTTGGGAAGAAATCGGGGAGTGTGAGTGGGGAAGACATGTGGAAAACGAGCCACAGGTCAAAATTTTACCCGCCTGGGTCACCTGCTTGAGGACTATAGCCTCCATAGATCCACTCCCCTTGGTTTGCTTTTCTCTTTGTTGATTCACTTTTAAATATTGCATACTAGGACTAGACCTCATTAAATCTCCAACAAAGCAAAACAGAGCTGAAAATAAACAACTCGATGTACGTGACGGAATGAAAAGAAAAGCAAGAGCTTAACAAAAAGTCGCCATGTCAGCCACCCAGAATGCATGGTTTATCACATCATGACTCTTTACATCTGTCACCTGCATTCTTGCGTTTTGCTCTGCTTGGTCAGAGAAAGGTGTAATGAGGGATGATGTGGGCACACAGAAGTCTTAACACTCTGTTTTTATCAGATTGACCATAGAGCATCTGTAACCTGTCTAATGTTCCTGGTCTGGAGAGACTCTGTTCATCCACCTGTGGAACAGATTGTTCAACAGTGAGGAATGCTACAGCTGTAGGGAAGCTCCTCTGGTGTACATTTCTGCAAATGACCAGAAAGACAGAAGAAAACTTTTCCGTTTAAAGGCGTTTAAACGGAAAAGAGTCTCTTATTGAATACAAAATAATTTGTTCATGAAAAAAAATCTTGATGTATTAAGCCAGACAGAATAGTCACATTTTGTCGACACAGAACTGGCAGTCGAACTTGATTTACTCTGGACACTTTCCTGCATTTTGATGTCTTTCAAATTTCTTTCAGATCCCAATGTTGAGATGTTGAGATGAGAAATGCATGGAACTAACATAAAAGTAAAATTTATGTAAATGCAGACTGTATTATGCATTGCACATTTTCAAAAGGCTGCACTGTTTGGGAAGGCTGATGACTATTTCTTTTTTTTCTTTTAAGATTTATTTTTGGGCTTTTTGTGCCTTTAATGCAGAGAGAGGACAGTGGATAGAGTCGGAAACCAGGGAGAGAGAGCGGGGAATGACATGCGGAAAGGGGCCACGGGTGGGCCTACCGCTTGAGACGAGAGTCTCAATACATGGGACGCGCACCCTAACCATTGCGCCACCAGCGCGCCCCTGATGACTATTTCTTAGTTGTGTGTGGTTGAATTCATTGTTTGCCTTTGTTCTTTAGAACTGGACGAAGTAGAAGAAGGCTATACATAATGTTGAGAGATGAAAGAGTTATTTCATCATCAGTCAACATAGCACTTACTTGTAGAAGGACTTTGGATGGTGATAAATACTTTTCTTTTGTTTAGATCACTAAAACTTCACCTCTGTCATGCAAACTGTTGTTTGGATCAATTAGCAATATGAACGAAGGTTGTCGAGACGCCATCATTTTGTACTTCAATACAATGCTAGTAAAAAATAAAGCTATATGGATTTTTGTTTTGAAACAAAAGCAACATAAATACAAGTCCTAGGCACACAATATTGGGTAATTACATGTTTTTAATTACTGATGTTCAGATAAGCGGTGTCCAATGTTCGGTACCAAAACATTACCAACATATTTGTGCAATTTAGAAAGTACTCTCTTTCTCTCTTTGGCTCTTGGTGATTTAAAAAAGAAAATCTATTTGGTAGCAACGTGTTAACTCCTTGCTTCTTCTTGCCTGGAAGTGAAGTTACTTACTCAGACTTTCCAAAAGGTAAACTTTCAAGTAACCATGATGAAATAAAAAAATATTCCTCAAAATTTGAAGGTTACAACATAAACACACTGTTATCATCCTTTTAATAACACTTATAGCTGCACTTTACGACCGCAGGATAAATTTGTGATAGCAGGACAAATGAATGAAGCACAGATTACCATTGTGATCAAGTATAAGCACAAACAATATTCATACGAGATACATACCAAATCATTAAAGGCAAAGATCACGTCACTTACACCTAATAAATAATTCAAAGGAGACAATGTATATTTAAATAAACCTCTATGGCTCTAAAAATATATAAATATATTTATTTTTATATTATGACTGAAGAACTAAAGTATTTTTTTACTTTGGTAACTTTAATACTATCCATTATTAAAACAAGGCAGATTGTATCGTTTTAAAACATGTATCAAAAATGATCAGAGTACCGAAACTTTTCAAAACTTTAATATTAATACTTACAACATGGATGCATTATTATCCTTTTTTTTAAGATTTTGTTTTTGGGATGTCCCTTTATTAGATTTGTACTGAACTATGGGAGAAAGAGTGAGTATAAAATGTAGCAAACCAGAGAGCTGTTGTCCTTATATTTAAAAGTTAAATATAAGTTACGACAAAGTTTTCAAACTGTTGAAGTTTCAGGAAGACATGTCAGCTGAGGACGAGTGTTGGGAAAACACCTTCCAACAACAGCATCCACCTCCTTAATTAGCACCTTAGATTTGGAGCTTCAGATATATGCTCCATTTTTCAACATATCAAAGTCAAAACATTCAGACGCATGCATGTAGACACATGTGGCTCAGGGTTAGCCTTCGTGCATAGATCAAACATGCAGTGAAGTGTACATGTGATGTAAAAAAGAAAGTCTTATTTTCAAAATTCACATACTCTGCTTACTTGACATAGTGTTCTGCATATCATGTTTCTCATCTGGCCCCTCAAAAAATTTAAGCTCCTGGAGTTTGTCTTTTTATTTCATCAACTGTTCTTTTGTTTACTGTGTTTAGAAATAGAGTCCTTACGCTGCAGACTTGTGTAATTCAGCCGTTTGCTTCACAACCTGTTTTAGAAACACTGTTTTCACAAAGTAGTCTGCAGGGCAATGAGCTTTCTTGAGAATATTTTCCCTTTTTAACTTCATTTAAATGCAACAATACTTAGGAATTCAAAAACACATGATGGAGTCAGGGGTTTACTTTTTCTGCTGCCAGAAGTGAAAGTCAAACCACAACTGTCAAACTGTGCGCCAGTTCCCTTTGAAGGCAGCGTGGAGAGTCAGCCACACAGAAAAGGGACAGCTACTTCAAAGATGCCTCAAAACAATTTCCCAGTTTGGGATCAATAAAGCACATCCATCTATCTAACTGTCTATGACAAAGTCTGTGCCTCATTGAAGAGGGAGAAATGTTCTTGATCTAAAGCTTCTTGGGATGTAGAAGAACACTTGATAACCATAGAGGAAACATTTGACCAACCATAGATGGAGTCTGAGATGCCTTGGAGGAAAGAAGTTAACCCATTATTTTATTTTCTTGTTTAAAAGTAGCTTTATTTAAGCATCTAGCCCAACATCCTACCTTGAGCCCACCCCCAGCTGATTTCATCACTCTGACTTCATCACTCTCTTTGTCATTGTAAACCGACCATTGCCTCTTTTGTTTGAGTTCAGAGAAGCCTCCCTTTTGATAGTGCAGTATTTCATGCCAGGTGATAACAGCCATATGGTTTAGTTTATAAATGAGTGCTATGTTCCAAAATTGACCATGTAGCTCAAATGCAGGCCCACGTTCTGTCTGCAAACTCTCTTAATACTTGGATGTGTAAAACAACTACTGGTCGCTTGCTGGGACGGCGGATCTTTTGCTGATGTATTTCTAAAACAAGACGGTGTAAAAATTCAGAAGAGTGCAAATTATTACTAGACAAAATCAAGTGTCCAAATGAAAATTCAGACATATATTTAAAGGTCTGTTTGACTTCCTGTTCCAAAATAAACAATATAAATACCTTTTTATTAAAAGAGCACAGTGAGTATAATCACCTGCTATTATTATTACAAGTCAAGAATGCAATAATTTGTTTTAACTGTGTGGCACACATAATTTGAGAGAACAACCCCGCAGCTAGCTCTTTGTTGCCAACCCAACATGCCACACATACAAATACAAAAAAAAAAAAAAAATGCAGGAATGCTTTGAGAATATAAACTAGCCCAGGGAGACGGGTGCAGGTCTGATGGGTGCTATTGTAACCTGATGAGCCCTGAGGCCAAGCTTCAACAGTTTCTGAGTGGATGGAGGAGATGATCAGTTCCCTGTTGTGGCTTATCCTCAACCCTGAACCCCCCCCTTACTGATTTGTCTTCAAACCACAGATGTAATCGAATCAGCAGCTAACTTTTATGAAATACAGAGACTGAAAGAGTTAAAATATTAAAGGGCTGCAAATGACAATTGACAGCCATTAAGTTATCTGTTTAAGCTATGTACACATCTAAAACTAAAACATGTTCCCCTTGATACAGAAATGTGTTTAATGCATTGCAAATAATGTTTCTCTACTTTTCTGCGTTGCTGTTTGTACAATAGGTCAGTTAGTGTAAATTAGATTCATACAGTGTTAGTGGAGTTAAAACAGTGCTTTACCTCTACACAAGCTTTCTTTTCTCCACTGACGTAAGACTCCCGAGGATCAGTGATAAATATTCCACTTTGTGTCCAGTTCCACAAGATGCCAGGTAGGAAGAAAACAAATTCTTTGTAAATTATCCCAAACAGTCCTTTCTGAGTCTTGCACTTGTTTGAAAACTGATCAGAAAGTACGAGAGAAGCGTCCCAGAGGCTGCAGACACGTTCAGACTGCAGAGTGCTGCAGGTCCTAGTGCCTGTCTGACTTCAAGTCACTTGGTGACTTCTGGAAGTACAGTTCATGTTCCGATAAGTTTCCATGCTGCTACAGCTCGTCCCCATAGTTAGAAAAAACAAGTTGTTTATTTTTGGACTTTTTATGCTTTTCTTTAGAGGTAGGACAGTGGATAGTCAGAAATCAGGGAGAGAGTGGGGAATGACATTGTTTAAAGGAGCGAACCACAAGTTGGATTTGAACCTGGGTTGCCCGCTTGGAGAATGAGAGCCTACATAGGTTGCGCACACTAACCACTATGCTACCTGCAGCCCCAAGTACTTTTTTCCAGGAATGTCCACCCAATTTTCGGCATGTTTTACTGAATAGTCTTTTTTTTCGATATTTTTCTTAAACTTGAAGTTAATTCACTACTATGAACTCCCATTTTTACCATTTTATTCGATGCTACAGCACCAAGGCGGCAGTGGCTCAATTGGTAGAGTCGTCCCCTCTCAACCGCAAGGTCGAGGGTTTGATCCCCAGATGAGTAACATGTCTGATGTGTCCTTGGGTAAGACACTTAACCCCGCATTGCTCCCCCTGCTTCGTTGGTGGTGTATGAATGGATCAGAGTTGTACTTAATCTCTGATGTACGTCACTTTGGATAAAAGTGTCTGCTAAGTGAATTGTAACCTTGGCTAAAGAATAGAAATTTCAATTTGTGAGTTGGTCCACTACTTTAGTACTAAACAAGTATTTAATGAATATCTATAAAATCAAGTCTTGTCCAAAGCACAAATTCTAATTATTTGTACTAGAATGTGTTGTCTTTGAGCATCTTAAGTAATAACATTTGCATTCAGCTGAAAACACCACAGAGCTAACAAAGCTTCTCTCATGGCTGTAGACTGTCGGCTCTGTCCAAAATCACACACAACTCACAATAAAGTTCACTCCTAGGGTTGTCCAAACTCTGAGTGAGCATTATCATACCCTATACAGTGGACTAATTATATTGTGAAAAGTAGTGTCACTCATCAAGCAACATACTATCAGAGAGAGAGAGAAAGTAGGGTTGGGATCAAACCTGGGCTGCACGCTCAGAGGACCACAGCCTCTGCACACGGGCCGCACACACCAACCACCAGGCCACCGACGCCCCACTATGCTGAAGCTCTGTTTACAGTTTGCTCACAGTAATACAAACAATTATGCTCCCTTCTCTACAGTTTTTTCACTGTACTTTATCAAAATAGTGAGTTGGATTCTTCAATTATTTCAACAAACTGAGAAGCTTTTGCACAAAAGTTTGAACGTTTTTTGTGAAATATTTGAAGACTAACTTTTGGGATCTTTGGCATTTGCTGCATCTCTAAGTTTTTTTTCAAACATCTCTGTCCAAGTTAAAAACACTTAGAACTGAGCAAAACAGAATTAAGCATTTATTGTGCTATTATCCTACTCTGGAACACATGCGGCCTCTGTCTTAATAAGTTACATGCAGAAGCCACCTACTGTACTCTGGTTATGACTTAACACTTAAAAAGATACCCTGAAAGCAAATAGTTTTCTCTTACTGTTCAATTTCCCGTAAGTGTTTTTATTTGAAGTGATTACCGCGCCTGATTTGATTAAATGTTTTTTTTTCTCGTCAAAAGCTGAAGCAGATGTTTCACAGAGACAGATGTTGATGAGATCATCTTCTTTAGCGATTAATTTAGCAGATGAGGACTTTTCCAATGATTTTTCATGACAAAAGTATTCGTTTTGATGATATGTTTTGAAGTCAGTGCTCGAGAACTTTTGAATTCTCGTGTTTTCATTTTTTTTTATTGCCCGACAACATTCATTGACATTTTCCCTCAGAGTTATTCCAGATGTTTGTATTCCCCCAAAATTGGTGAAATTGTTCAGCTTTTTTTTTTAAACTTACGTAATTGTCGACATCAACTGGTACACAGGATACAGTTTCAGACAAGAGTGTGTTGGTGTTTGAAGCAGTGAGAGTGAATAGTGTTAATGGTTCAGGAAGAGATTTGAGCTTTAAGGTGAGACAGCATAAACTAATCCAGGTGTGGAAAAAGTACAAATGTGACTGTGGGTGTGTTGTGTATGGATGTGTGCGTCCTTTCTCTCTCATCTCAAATCTAACACAAGGTTACACTGGATAGTCTGTTTTTTTTTTTTTTTTTACCTTTCCTTATAAATTAGATAATGGTTGAGATATTTTTTTAAAATAAGGGCTTCAGTGTATTCAGATAATGTCACTACCAGTTTCACACATCTGGATCCTGATAAGAACACATGGAAGCAAAATGTTCTTACCATATTACACAAGGATCGCACTCATGGCTTTGATTATTGCTCTGAACTCTTCATGGCACGGTTGGTATTTTTAAGAGTGGGTCTGTTTTGAGAAGCTGCCTGCTAGTTTTCAGCGTGTGTAAAGCAGTTTAATGCTACATAATGGGTTAAACTCTGTGCCATCCATTACTGTTTGTTGTAGTTGTCCAGAGAATCTGAAAAACCAGACACTAAGTTAGTGTCGGTTGTTTCCTTCTTTGGCACTGTAGGGCTTTGGGGATTTGAAACCTGGCCTCCCACTCACCTCCTGTAAAACTTGTTTGCAGGATCCCATTTAGCCACACAGGCTGGACCAGACTCCTCTGCTGTTCATCACACATTTTGGACATCTTTAGCCATGGCCGGGAATTAACATAACGAGGGAGGAAACATGACCGGGAATATCTGAGGTGGAAGCACAAGTCACACAGGGCGGTTTTGGGAGACAGATAGCTTTTGTTTCCAGGGTTTGATGTGAACTTGTAGACTAAAGACACTTTTTGTATTCAACATGACAGGCTCTTGGAGGGAAAGACAGGGAATGTCATTTTAATGTGTTTTTTGGTATTGCTGAATCTTGTGTAAACACAAAACAGTGTTGAAATGTCATTTGGCAGTAGCACACAGACAATCCCTCTCCAGCCGAAACTATTAATGACCCCTTTATATTCCAGTAACCACATTTTTGACTGTAGGTCAGAAAGGATAATGTATTGTTCATTTTTTTCTTGATTTTATAATCAGTGTAATAAAAAAAATAAGATATTTTCAAAAAAATGACTTTTTAACAAACAATGAAACAAATTTTCACACCAAAACTAATTTACCTGGCTTACAGACAATGATCAATTCAATTCAATTCAATTCAGAAAACTTTATTTGTCCCCGGGGGGCAATTCAAAGGCACACAGAGCAGTAAATTAACAACAGTGCAAGTAAACAAAACGTTTTAACCTAAATATAAAGTGTGAATTTAAATACAAGTTAAAGATTAAACTTAACTTAAAAATAAAAAATATAAAAGAGTAGATATAAGTGGACAGTGATCAGACTAACAGATGTAAACAGATGTAACCAGAACTATGTGCAGTAGTGACCAGATGTAAACAGAACTATGTGCAGTAAACGAGAAATAAATATATATATATACAGAGCTATGTGCAAGTAGGCAAACTTCTAGATTTCAGTAAAAAATCAGTAAAAAATCAGTAAAAAATCAACAAAATATTCCTTTTTTTTTGTGTTTCTGTGTTCACGCTTTTCTTTTTTTTTCTTTCTCCTCCCGTCCGTCTGAGATCAATCAAACGCCACTTTCCACTTGTACAAAGCTTTGAACCCCAATGATGGTTGATATAGCTTGGTTGTGACCATCGGTTGTGCAGTAATTTTCACAATGCATTGTTGGACACAAAATGAGTGCATTAATTAGGGTATCATATTGCTCGCTCACAAATCGGACACCAATACAAGATGGCCTATTCACTTTTTAGTGCACTTTATAGTTAGTAGTGTGTGATTTCAGATTCTACCAGAAATGACATTTTCACTTCATCAGACCAGTCCGTGAAAATATTTTTTCTCAATGACGAGTTCGTTAGTGTTCCCTCTCGTGCCCAATTATCTATGAATTATTTCAAAAATAATATTTCAACCTCTATGAAAAGGCAAACGGCTGAAAATAGCTTCAGTTAACGGACATTATTGGACAAACATCAACGAAGAAGGAATGTAAATATAAAAAACAGATGACAACCTGCGCCCTTGACCTACAGCTAGTGGGAAATAACAGAATTGAGTGGTGAAATCGTCAAGTACAACTATGGTCATTTAACGGTACACTCATGGGAAATACAATGATTTCCACTCATGGGAAATGAATGCTGGACTAAGACATTTTTATTATTTATTTAGGGATTTATTCTATCATGAAGAGCGCACTTCCGACCCCAAAGAGCCAGTAAAATCCGCCTCCTCCTTCTCAGCTTTTCAACGATACAAGGAGGGGGGCTTCAAGGAATAAAGGTTGGGAACCACTGCAAAACAGACTGTTTTATAGTAGGGGGATAAGTTATTCAATGTGTGCACTTATACGGCTTATGTTTATGGAGGCTCCAAAGGGAAGATGATGGATTCCTAAGTGAAAGGAAGTGAACTTTCTCTTATTTCAACCTCTATGCTGATAGTCGAATTGAAGTTGAGAAGACTGTAACATGCAGATAGTGACAATACAATGTACATTTTTTTCAAGCTTTATTTTTGGGCTTTCAATGCCTTTAGTGTAGAGATAGGACAGTGGCCAGAGTTGGAAATTAGGGAGGGAGAGTTGGGAACGACATGAAGGAAAGGAGCCACAGGTTGGATTTGCACCTAGGCGCGCACTAACCACCACGCCACCACGCCACCACGCCACCACGCCACCAGCACCCCAGAATACAATATTTTAACAAACCTCAGCACTTTTTTATGCCTATCTTTTATGTATTTGTAAATACAAAAATGTCTTACCTGGGTGGTTTGATTGGAGCAATGTGAAAAAAAGGAATTTAATAGTTTTTTAGGAATGTAACGGTACTAATGCTGGGAACTGCAGGGTAAC